AACTTTTTTTTCTTCCTTTGTTTTTTTTGTGGTGATGTTACCAGGAAACTCTCCTTGTTCCACTCAACGAGATGCAAGAAAAGCAAGTGCAATGGAATTTGCTCGCTGTCACGCTGAGAGTCAGGCTGTGGTGTGCAGTCAGCATGCTCCTGGGGCAAAGATCACTTGGCCTGAAATTATTTACAGACAAGTACAAACCAAGAGTATTTTGAATTGTTCTGAGCACACTGTGTTGTATATGGAAGGAAAGCTCTTCCCATGAAGTACAATTACAAAAAAAAAAAAAAAAAGTAATTAAAAGGTAGAAAGCAATAAAAATGGCCAATATTTTTTATACATTATAAGCTCTGTATTGCCCTCAGATAATGAGTGAAAGTACACAAAATGCATAGCATAAGGGTTAAAGTTAAGAGCAATCCAATGCTTCAATCTCTTCCCACTAGGTTTGTTTTTTCCTGGCACCCCAGGTGCACCTCTCCTGCACACCAAGTTCAGCAGCACGCTAGAGATGAAGGTCACTCCTCCAGCCCCTCACACAGGAGCCACTGCAGGGAAGTGAGGGGTTACTCAGAGGTCTTTTTGTAGGTTCACAGACCAGGAGAGAAGGAGGGGAGGCTCTGGCCACCCTTTCCCCATGGGTGAAGGGGCATCAGTTGCGCTCAGCCTGGAGTGGCTCTCAAGCACCCTGAGCATCACGGTGTTGTGGCAGACCTCGAATGTATTTGCAGACTTGGGTTTCTGTGGTTTTGGACAAAGCACTGGGATTTTGAAATTGGAAGGGATCTGAGAGGGCTGCTGATGGGTGTGCACAGGGATTTCCACCTCTCCCGAAGCTCAGTCCTTGCTGCTGAGGCAGCTGGTACTGGGCTCCCAGCTAACTGGAGTCCCAGTGTGCCGCAACAAATTTGACAAAAGGAGGTTTCGGTCATTCACTCCTGGCCACTCTGCCCAGGCTAAAAAAATAAAAGGAAGCTCTCTCAGTCTGCAAACAGATGTTGGAAAACAGGGTTTCTCCAGAGAACAGAACAAGCTCTCCCCTATGATTGCCACCAGGGCCACATTCGCTACCCCCAAGGACCCATCCCAGTCCAATCCGCCCTACAGTGAAGGCAGACAGCTAAGCTGCTCACATGCTGTCCCACAGGGGAATTTCTGCCTTCCTCAGCAGTTCCCTGCCAGTTCCCCAGTCACAGATCTTGTTGGAAAAAGCACTTTGTGCGTCAGCTGTGCCATGTTTCAGCTCAATGGCACATTTGTTTCAAAAACCCTGACTTTGACTGCCTTGAAATTGCTCTGCTGACACGTCCCTCATCCTGCTCCTAACAGTGTGCATCTTTCAAACCAGGACTGGCCAAAAGAGGAGGGGAAAGTATCGGGAAGCAAACCTTCAATCTTGTCTAAGTCACAAAGCACAACTGCTGACGGAGGCAGCTGCTCAGAGGGAGTTAAGCCCAAGTCTCTCTATGCAAATAAAAGGTGTGAAAAGCCCTGAGCAAACACACAGTTCTTCCACTCTGTCTGCAACTGCAAAGACATCAAACCACTTGTAGGAGAGCCTGTCCTCTGCCTCAGCACCATCTGACAACAGGGAGCCTCCTCCTCCAGCCCAGGCGCACGCCGAGCTTTCTCCTTGGCAGCTTCGTGGGCACACTCAGCTGAAGTCTGCCCCCTGCCCCCAGTGCTGCGAAGGTTAAACCCCAGGCCAAATGTCTTACTTTCTAAACACATTTCACTCAAGTTGGGAACCTTTCACAGCAAATAAGGCAGCAGAGGGTTCAGCCGTCAGTCCCGTCACGGGCTGTTAGGAAGCGTGTCAGCGCAGGGCAGCGAGCCAGCAGGTGAGTCTTGTAACACGGCGCTCGAGACAGGGAACGTCCTGGGATTGAAAGGATCTGGATTGAAAAAGCTTACTGTGTCTGGTTCATGTGAGCACAGGTTTTGAGGCCACACCAAAGACAAGCAGGTGCTACAAGCAGGTGGATCTGCTCTGAGAAGACCAGAACCGCCAGGTGGAGGAGGGCTGTCTCAGAAACAGGACCAAAAACCTCCCAAGATGATCATCAATCAGGGTGTGACGTATCACTGGCTCCCCGAAACAGACACCTATAAATGCCAAGAGCTGCCAGCAGGGTGGGATTTGTTCCAGTTCTGGGACGTAGCCTGCAAGGCAAGGAAACCTGCAAGACACAGTCAGCCCATATCATCTAAAAGTAGGATTTTCTCTTCTATATTTACCCTTGCCCTTTGCGCCTGAGATATCAAAAGTGATGCCTGCAGACAAGGAAGCCACTCTCAGAAGCAGAACATTTCAGTAAACATTAAGAGTAGCCACCGTTTAGGTAGAAGAAGGGGTGTCTTGCTGTTTCTAAAAGGCAGTAAATACTTGAACATGAACTACAAAGCTGAACCATAAAACCAGTGTTACATCAAAAGTCAGCATATGGGTGGATGCTCTATCTATGGTAGCTTAATTTAAAATCTTGAGAAAAATAAGACACTTGCAGATCCGTGTGGAAGTCTCAATATTAACAAAGACACAAAGTGAAATGCAGACACTACAAGGGAGGAACCAGGACAGTAACTAACAGCGTTCAGCCACCAGGATCAAGCAATTTTGGGAACAGTGCAAGGTGAGCAGTGTGCTGAGCCACCAGCATGAGGCAGACCACCCCAAATCGCAGACAGGAGGAAAGCAAGGGTGTAAACACAAGTGCTTCCATCCTGCCCACGCAGCAGCACTGCACCGCAGATGTCTGCACAAGAAGCATGGGAGCTGCAGTGTTACCTGAGCCAGAAAAGCAGCAGCCAGCATCAACACTGACATCTCCTGACACGCAGCCAGCTCTGTGCATTAGCAGAGATAATGCACGAGGATGGCATCAGGAGCAGGCAGGGGCACAGCGCCGAGACCCATCCACGTCTCATGCAAGCACAGAAGCACACAGGGCAGCCAAGACAACGGGAAAGGTGTGCTTTCCAACAGGTTTCGTGTTAACAACCTCTGACCCAAGCAGATGGAGATCAGTCGGGACTTTGCTGGCACTCCTCTGATAACCTCCTCATGCCTCAGGCTGGAAGACTTGGGGGTTGGACCCCATGATCTCTTGAGTTCCCTTCCAACCCCTACAGCTCTGTGGTTCTGTGAAGACAAGGATGTCATCTATCTGAGAGCTTTGACTCAAAACTGGCCTGCTGTGCTCAACCCTCATCCACCAGCCCCACTGCAGAAACCATCCTGGTTGCATGAGCTTAGCCCATGGCTACGGACGCTGAAGGCACTTAACGCCTTCCTCATTGCAGACAAGGAAAAAATGAATTTTTAGTATCTAGCACAGTTTGGGTGTACAGATGGAGGCTTTAGCAGTTCGTTATGCTGCAAAAATTTAATCCAGTGTTTCAGGCCAAGGATATTGCTTAGTGGGTAGGGCTACGTACGTGCACAGTACTGTCTGCTGAAAATAATCAATTAGGGTGTTGGGTTTGGTCCGACAAGCTCTTTTACGTGAGCCAGATACCCTCCAGGAATTCCTTGCACACTAAATTTCTGCAGAGAAAGAGACACTTCATATAAATTGCCTGTATGGCTTCAGGTCCCCAAAATGGCACAGCATTCACCTAACACACCCTGTGAGCACAGCAAAATCAGAGTGATCAAGGAGTCAGCAAAAGAGCAGCATACAAATACAGAGTTCTTTTGCTTAGTGAGGGTGAAATATGTTTTGCATACACATCTGCAAAAACGGAGTATCATGTTTTAATTATTACACTCCAATTATTACATTATTACACTCAATTACGACATTATTACACTCAATTATTACACAAAAGACGTATTTGGGGAAGATAGGCTTAAATTCACTACACCGTGTTGTGCAAGGTTCTCCACTGGCCTTTGAGGTCTGAACAGCTGAGTCAGGATATCTTTCTTCTAAGCTAAGGAAAAAGAGCATTAACTTAAGGAGTCAACAAGAAGGCCAAGGAAAAAGTATTAGCTCTGCTTCTAATCCAGTCCCAGCATGATTAAAGCCACAGATCTGCAAAAAAATTCTTGCAGCAGATCCTTAGTCAGGTTTGAGATGTACTCATTCACATGTGCTCTCATGCTGGTCCCAGTCTCCCCCTACACCCTGAATTCCTCCGATGAGCTTTATGGATCAAGAACTACTTTTTCTATCCAACAGCCTCGCAGGACAGCATCCTGGATGCTCGTGGATACCGCCACCACTTGTTGAAGTATGTAAAAGTCAGCCCCGCTGTATTGCTGTCTATGAATTAGAGCTTAGCAGAGAATTCAGCGGCTCAGCATGTAGATGCTGTCTTTTCCAGACATACTTTAGCAGTTCAATAGTGACTTTAGCAACTTGACTCCATGTCAAGCCTTACCCTGAGTTCTCAACCCAGCGCATTCAGTTGCCAGGAGCATTCAGGTTGTCATACAGAAACACAACAAAACAGAACAAAAAGGGCACTAGTCCTGTGTGCGTTTCCCCCCCTGGTTTGCAGATCACAAGAAACAACCCAGCCTTTGAAAACTGAGCGCAGATTTGCCCTTTTTCAATCCATCACCTTGGCAACCCGAGTCACAGCCAGTGGACCACTGTAACTGCCAGACGCCGGCCCCACAGCGCTGTTCAGACCCCAGGATCTGCTCGAGTTCTGCTCGGCCACCCCACAAAGGTGAGTGTGATGGGCAGCTCCTTCCAAGGGCACACCCCGCTCGCAGAGCCATGCAGAAACACGCTCCTGGAGGCCCATCCTTCCCAGGGGTCTAAGACAGGCAGTGGGGTTTATTGCACGATAATCAACACCCACCCTCACAGGTCCTCCTGCAGGGCTGCAGTGGGAGGTGTCTCTCTGAGGTTCCAGCACCACACTGGTGGTTTCGAGTTTCTCAGCACACAGGGAGGGGATGCTGCATCTCCGTATCTGCTCGTCGGAGAAGCTCTTCAGCAAAAATCTGCCTGCTGATGAGCTGGAAATGCACCCTCAAAATAGCTGGAACAGTGAAAGAAAACAAAGCCTGACACAGGAGAAACATCAGCAACGTGAAAATTTGCAACCTATCTGCTCTCTTCTGATTCAACAGATTTCATGGATTATATCCATAATATCCATTATATCCATATGATTTTATGGAACAATTCTATGGAACGATTTTATGTTCTGTGATTTTATTCTATGATTCAAAATGAGTCTGGGGGGTTTCTGGGAGCCACAGGTCTTAGCACTGGAGTTTTTGATCTGAGTGGTTTGAACTGCAGCATTTATTGAGGTAGGCAGACAGAAAAGGACTGGGCAACAGCAGCTCCTTTACCAGTCCCATAGCTGCACTGCTGCAGGGCTGTGCCAGTGGTGTTCCTCCACAGTGCCAGATCCCCTGGGAAGCTCCTGCTGCCTTTCAGCTACTGCAGTGTCCCCTGAAGCTCCAGGCATGGGGTTGCATCTCCCCCTTCCTCCCAGGTAGACTCAGAGATGCTACAGCTCCTGGTCCAGCTCTTCGGATGCTTTCTGCTTCCTTATGGCCAACATCTGGCCTGTCAGCCTCCAGCTGGGGCAAAGCTTGCTCTCATTCCGAAGATTTCTGCTTGATAACCACCATTCTTCTTCTTCCCCAGCTGAATTACCTGCATCTCTGCAGAGTTTCCGTATTCCCAAGCACTCGTGGTGCAGTTTCACAGGCGGTTTTTCAGGCGTAATGCAGCAGTCAATAACCTCCTAACAGGACAGCAAACAGCTCCTGAGAAAAGTTCCCCGCACCAGAAATGAAATATACTTTTTTGACAGATCATTGCCACTCAGGTGCATGAACCAGCAGGCAAAGCAAACTCCTATTTAAAAGCCAACCGAACGCTGATGAATAATATCCCTGGCTGCTCGTTGCCTTCTCCTCTGAGACCTCTCTCAGAGCTCTTTTCAGCCAGAAGTCAAAGCATTTCCAATTTTTAACCATGTTTGTTTCAAATCATTGTTGATACTCATTTTAATTTAATTAAGGTGCTGGTTTTTTTTTTCCTTTTTAACAAATACAGCTCCTTGGTCCCAAAGGGCACAGCACTGTGTGCAGACATCTGCAGGTAATCGGAACTGAACTTCCTCTCTGTCCTGCTCATTTTCAAGCCTTTCAAAGATCAAAGGATTGTTTTTAACCCGGAGCTTTGTCATTATTAAAATGGCATTAATAGCTAAAGATGGCTGTTTCCAAATGGTTGGGTTTGTATCGTGGCTCTGTAATATCCTCACTGGAGGCAGCAGACGACTCAGAGAGCAGATGCCTCTGAGTGAAACCTCAGATTTATTCAGATACAATATCTGGATGGACAGCACAAAATGATCTGCTGCTGAAGGAGGTGTGAGTACCCGTGAATAGGCATTGCCTGCTCTGCCAAAACTTACAGTAAGGAGTCGCTGAGCACAATGAAAGAGGAATTAAAGCACTCGTTAAACAAATTCCCATCCCAAGTTTTGCTTGCAACTGAGCAGCCAGCCACCCTGACCCCAAAGGCAACAAGCTTGCCACCTCCTTTGCTTATTTGTTTGTTTGAATGGACTCAAAAATGTTTTTTTAAATGAAGCAGCATCTGTAACCACAGCTCTGCTCTGCTGGTACCAGCCCCTGGGGCAGGTTTGAATAATGCCATATCCTCCCCTCGCCCACAAAACCAACCTCTTATCAGCGTAGCCGTGTCCACACGCCAGCCCCTCCTGCAGCAGCCACTGCAGCAGCTATTCACATCACATCCTGACGCTCCTCGTGCAGAAACGTGTAACATTGACCTAGTTTTTCCTGAGGACCTTCATCATCATACGCTTTGGATGGTGCTTTAGAGCAGTGTTTTGGAAACCCAGTCTGCACCAGGTAGCAAACAGTGTCATCCTGGACTAAGGAGGGCTCTGAGCTCCTCTGTGCCCAGAATCAGCACTAGGACAACAAGAACAGGACAGGGGGTGGGGTGGGGTAGGTTAACCATCTTGTGACTGCATTTCTCATCACTCGACCTACTCCTTTTTCAAGCATCCTTTTTGTATCTTCCTAATTTTCTTTTTTTTTTCTTTTTCTTTTTTTCACAGTTAGAGATTTTCTTCCTTGTTCTCACTGTTCTCAGAAACTCAGTATTATTGTATTACCTTTATTGGGGGGGGTAGAGGGGGGAGGACAGCAGAAATTGGAAGCTGCCTTGCCCTTTTGGCTGAGAGCTGTTGCTGTATGACAGTAGTGAGAAGACCTGTTTGGGATACACTGGAAATTTTTTTAAGCCAGTGTCCCATTAGGCCGTAGGATCCCATTTCTGTGATATATCTGGGTTTTGTCTGCCCTGACACATACCATCTATCCCTATTGTCTCTGCATTATGTCGCTGTTTATCATCCACTCACATATTTATTTCCCCTTTCAAACATCATCTAGGAACTGGGCTAGAGTTCTGATAGAGAATTTGCTGCTACGTGTGACTGCATAGATTGGCTCGAGGTAGTGATCAAGGATATCAATCTGGTATTTTAATCTGGGTACAGTCATCCCATCTCTTATTTTCATCCAGGAGAATTCTCTTATTTTTTATTTTTATTTCCTCCAGTCAAAAGCTGCAGCTTTGCGGAAAAGCATTTTTTTCCCCTTTTAACTGAATATTTATTAAATCTTATGTCAGCTCTTTTCAAAAATCATGGGCTGAGATAAGAGCAAATAACAGCATCTCTTTTCCAGCCGCTTCTTTTTCATGGTTCTGTGCACTATGTACATCCTGCAAGATGATGAAGAAAATAAACAGATGTATCAGCTCCCTGCAAGCTGAGTATCGACCAGGCGAAAGAAAAATGAAACCTTCTGCTAAGATTTATTTGGGATATACTCACAGATTTCAGGAAAATAAGTATTTAAAAGGTTATGTCCATCCCCATTGACTCCGTGTGTTTATGTGAAGGATACAAAGCTTTCCTATAGAAGCAATGAAGCCACGCATTTACTAAACCCAGTGTCCCATTAAGGCTTACGTGTGAGCCACTCGAGGAGGCAACGGTGACGTCCTCTATCTTGTCTCACAGCAGAAAAAAAAGGCCAGGGAGTATGAGGTTGCCCTCAGTTTACAGGATGCGAGGCGTCAGTCGGTGCTGATGAAGTGAGCTGCTTCGCTGACTCACACCTACTGGCCAGCGCAATTCCCTCTTGGAGAGTGCCCGGGAGCCTGTGTAATCCATCCTGCCTGAGGCATCGTGTCAGAGCCCTGAAAGAGCTTGTGAAGCACCATGAGGAATTCTTATTAAATTGTCAGGGATCTTTGTGCTGGAGTCAGACTTCCAATATTTTACGGCTGACACTGCCTTTTTTACATGCAGCAGATGGGGAGTGCACTGTAAACCAAGGCAGTCGTGAAGACATGACAGATCTCTGCTGCTACAGCTATTAGTCTGCGGAGGAAAAGCTGCTGCTTGCCCTCCATCATCCTCCAGCCTTCAGAGCTACAGATGCAGATGAGGGTAAGTGAACACACGGACTGGGGCTGGCCTCGCAGGCAGCGTGGGCTGAATTCACTCTGGGAGCACGGCCTGGCTCTGAGCAGGGAGACAGCTCCTGGAGGGGAGGAAAATCATTCTGTTCAGCTTCTTGTGTGGAATCTGAGTGTCTGAACCAAACGTGTCACCTACACGATCTCTACAGTCAGGGGAGCACAAAGACCTCTGATGGGATATGCTTTATGCCATCTGTATGTGATACCTGCTTAATGAATCACTCTTTAGAAAGGGATGACCCCTGCTACAAGCTGGAGAGGGATGCAGACAACCAGCTTAGACTGGGTGCCCATTTTCTGGATGTCTGCTGTGAGCCGAGAGCTGCCTTCCTTTGTGCCTGTTCCTGGATGAGTGGCACATAAATATATAAATATAAACATAAATAAACATATCACAGAATCACAGAATCACAGAATTTCTAGGTTGGAAGAGACCTCAAGATCATCGAGTCCAACCTCTGACCTAACGCTAACAGTCCCCACTAAACCATATCCCTAAGCTCTACATCTAAACGTCTTTTAAAGACTTCCAGGGATGATGAGTCCACCACTTCCCTGAGCAATATATATATGCATAAATATAAACATAATTATACATAAATATAAACATAATTAAACATAAATATATATATATATATTTCATCAAAAATCTTCTCCTTCTCTCCCTTCCAATGACAAAGTGTTCAACATTTCTGCCCTCTTTCATCCACCTGTAGCACAGGCTGTAGACCTCTAGCAGGCAAAGCAGCAATTTGTCTCCTGGCTGGGAAATTCGGGGTTGGAAAATCATAGAAGAGATGAGGTAAGAAGGGACAGTCACGCTTTTGATGGCAGAGTTTCTAACCACTGAAGCAGCTTGTAAAGCAGAGCGGTAAACTCTCCAGCCTTCACGCTCTGGGTGATAGAGTGTTTTTCAGAAATAGCAGGTCTGCTTTAATCAGAAGTTATTGGGTTCCACGCAGGTAGCATTGTTAATGACAGACGGCCAGTGAACCGAGGATGTCAGACTGAATGTTCACATGATGAAACACTGCCGTGTTTCCTACTTCAGCCCGGGAGCATTTGTATTGTTTAAGATGCATCTTCAAGATGCTGACTTAATCAAAATTCTCTGCTTTTGCCTTGTTAGGGCTCACGCCTTAGCATTCTAAGAAAGACATACTGCCTGTGGGAGTGGTTTTAGCTTCAATAAAAGAGTTCAAGGCCCAACATTTTTTTTTCCAGAAAAAAAAATAATAAGCAGATTAATAGGCTGCATATGTATTGATTTGGTTATGGCCTACGAGCACCCCCAAATTTAAAAAGTAAAAATAAAATGCAGTAGAAAAGCAATTAGTCTTGCTTTAAAAGACATCCTGAATTCTAGCAATGGGGGATGGAGCACAGAGAAACGCAAACTACAAATAAGACAGGCACTGAAGGTAACCAAACACGAAGATCAGCCTATACCTTTAGAGGTTACCTTTCCTGCAGTCCTGCTGTAGCACAGCTCCAGGTGCCAAAAGGCACCCAAATACATTGTGAAGCCATCAGAATACTAGTTCAGCAACATCGAGCCAGGAGGATGATCCTGAATTAAGTCCAAATCTGATCTTTGCCAGGTTAGGCTCCAAGAAACATTTCCATATATTTTAACCAAAAGCCAATGCATACACACACAATGCCCAATAGATATGACTTTCCCAGTGGAGAAATCTCTGCAGGGTTTCTCCAACAGAAGAGATGAACTACCCCTAACAGTAGTGATGTGATTTCCCACTGGTTTCCATTTGCAGCACCTCCAGTAGTCTCTCCAGCCAGGTTCACCACATATCCTGGCAAGCGGTGGTACTGCTTTCAACACTGACAATATACAGATTTTCACTGATTCCAAAAACGCCCACAAATGCCACGAAGCAATGTAAATCCAGACACAGCAATGAGGGGAAAACAGCGTTCTTCTTGTCCAAAGCCATCCCCTGGTTACAGCCTGATGCACTGCACCTCGTTGTTGCTTGTTTTTTTCCCCACCAAGCAGTTACTGCAGTGTCCATAGGAGAAACCCTTTCCTCATGTTTTCTGGACAAGACAACAGTTTTTATAGCTCCTGAATTGATAAGCCTCTCATAGATTAAAAGAAATTACATTTCGGGTAGGACAAGGAGTCTCAAAATTGCTTTTAAGCTCACCAATATATTTAAAAATCAGACTTCAGAAATATCTGGTTTAACAAATTGCTTTGGGGGGAAGGAGCCAACACTTTCCTAATTTTCCGAGGGAGTTCACTTTGTTTGGCTACATCTCCTCCTTGTAAGCATTGCAGAACACGGGGTGTTTTGTGAGCCTGTGCTTTGCTGTAATTCACAAAACACAGGTGTAAATTAATGATGGTCTAATGAAGTAGACAAGGGAGAGACATGCCGCTAGTGAATCACCTGCTAACGCTGTCTGCAGCTAGGGAAGGAAACCTGTTTGTTTATGTGCCTCACATTTCCTTATGCACCGTGTGGTATAATTTAAGAGATTTTATTTCAACTGTTTGCTTATCTCTAATTACCATATGCTGGGGTTGTGTATTACTTCAGCAACAAACCCTCGCAAATCGCTAACCAGGAGCCATTTTGTCGGCAGGTCGCAGTACAGGCGCTCTGCGTGCTAGCCTGTAATAACAGAGCAGCAAGCTGGAGGTTTTTAAAGGAAAAAAAAACCTTCTTCACATACACCATCAGGTGATAACACTCCTCTTTTCACTACTTGCAGGGTCTCAAGATTTAAGACAAAAAAGACAATAAGCATGAAAAGGAGGGTGAGTTCAGCAAGAAGGGCCCTTGGATTCAAAGAAAATTGGCTGGAGGTACCCACCAGCAAGAAAAGGGCCTCCTCAGCAACGTCCTCAACAGCTTCCTGGGGTGATGGTGGGAACACAGGGACAGCTGAGCCACCCCAGGGGTCTCCAGGTCCCCTGGGAGCCTGTGGCCTCTTGGGCAAGGGGAGCCCCTCCGCACGGGACAGCTTAGGGGCCCCCAGTGTGAGATGAGGGGATCCGATCCTTGCATTGTAGTAGCTTTTTTCTGCTACTGATTTTAAAATTTGAGACGTATAAGAATCATTGTGCTCTTAGAAAACCAGGCAAGAGCTGCGGGCAGACACTGATCTGAGAAGAAAAGGTAATTTGTTGCTGACTGTAATGATGTTAAATCACCAAAGGAGAGCGAGTCTTACCTACCCAGGTTATTGTGCCTGTCAAATTAAGCCAGGAATGTCCTGCACAAAATTAAAAATATAAAACAAAAAAGTAGGTAAACAGAAGCAAAACATGGCAGACAGAGTCCAAAGAGCAATTGTGTTTCATATGCATGATTAATTATCAGAGGAAGCATGCTGAAGGAGGCCACTTGCTGCCATTTTTTTTTAATCAGTTATCCAGACCAACAGCAATGCCTTCTCACTCACCAGCAGCTGCACCCTCCCGCACCCTAGCTTGTACTCAGGAGCTGCAGGACCGTGGTGGCTTCTGCCACCCAGTGCCTTCACCAACCCTGGCCGTGCATCACTCTTCTTCCCTCATGTGAGACACGTTTGCTTAATAATAATAAAGCATAGTTCTACTTCCCCAAGGTGCTCACACACTTTACTTCTACGATCTTAATCTGAAAAAATAAATAAATTACAGCTGACAGAAGAGGGGTTGGAAAAGATTCACCAGCAGCTTATCTAATCTTATTTCTGTAATTGTCTGAAGAGTTTAAGGTATTGTCATGTATGAAGCCACGAAGAGATACCAAACTTCCCTCTGTGACACTGCTTCATTTTAGTTCATTGCATGCTTAACTGTGCAGAAATCAGCACTTGTTAGCCCTGTGATCCACTGCAGCTCACTCTGCTTTGCTCCATCTTTCAGCCAACACGCGATTTGGAAATGAGTAGTTATTTCCTACAGCAGCCTTCCTCTCAGCCAGGAGCTGAGCAGCAGCACTTCACTTAAGTCCCCACTTGCACAGCTGGAGTTAAATCAAAGAGCTGCTTCGCTGCCTTTACATCTGCTGCCATTCCACACCCCGGTGGTGCCGGATGCATACATGAAAGCAGGTTCTGTTGTAAGCAAACACTGCACAACGTTAAAAGCAGAGACTTGTTTGGGAGCTAAGAAATCTTCCACCACCCAGCTGCGATAACAGTTCCTCTTCTCAACTCCCATTTCTTGATTTTCATCTCGTTTTCCACCACAGCGAGAACCGCCACGGGATGCACTGAGGGTGGCACGCAATCAAAGCGGAGTTTCTTGTCACAAGTGGCTGTTTGGGTTCGGAGCAATTAGGCACCGAATGTGGTTTTTATATGTGGGGGGAAAAAAAAGGAAAAAAAATCAACTCAGAAGCTGGAGCTACTTCCAGGTTTGGTTTGTAATTAATGAGGTTTTGGAGTGGACTTCAACACAGCGGTTTCCTGAACGATTCAGCTTTTCATTTCCAGGCAGGTGGCAGCTGTCAGCCTGTTAGCAAAGTACAGCACCTGTGGATATCTTCTTAATAAGAAGAAAAGCAACAAACTTAAGCAACAAACTCCTCCATTATCAAGCAAATCCACCCATGAAGAGCACCAAGTTCAGCCAGCTCTCGGGACAGGCAGGGGAGCCACCAACCTGAACTAATTAATTACTTATTGCAAATCATGATCCAAGCTAGATCTGAGCCTACAGGAGGATTTAGGCTGCTTTTAGGGACCTCCATGCAAATATAATCTAGAAATCATTTCCTTGATAGGAAAACAACCCTCAACATTTTAGTGAAAGTTCAAGATGTAGAAAAACAGATTGGTTTGGGTTGGAAGGGACCTTCAAGATCACCTAATTCCAACACCCCTGCCAAGACATCCAGCCAGGTGTAAGAGCTGATGGCTGGTGAGTTTGTCCAGGGAGCTGAAGACTCCTCAGCTTTGGAGGTGAGAAATCACGCAAATTTTGTTTCCTGGCTGCCTCATGCCTAACATGCCTGACCAAGTGTTGCAGACCACGGCAGAGCTGCTGTCCCCAAAGCAAAGTCACGGGAATTGGTCAGGAAAGTGCTGCAGGGGAGCAGAGCAG